TTTGATTTATATCGTATTTTTTAGCCTACAGCGGTACATTAGCACATACTGACATATTTACAGCCAAGATGTTAAAATGGACATAAAATGTTGTGGCTCTTAAGGTGGTTAGATTTTTGTTGAAAGGACAAAATGGCTCTTCTTAACATTTGGTTTGCCGACCTCTGGGCTAGTTCTATTCAGGAGAATAATCCATTTAGTAAGTTCAGTCATTTAACAGCCTATTTGCATCATTTTTTAAACTCACTGAATCCATTTGAATACAGATGCACTTTCCAACCGCTTTGCCAATGAAAATAGTATTACATGTGCTTCAGGCTCTGAAGAGCTTCAAAGAACTGAAGGGCTCTTTCCCCCTAGAGTGGGAGATCAAATCGGATCTGTAAGTGTCCTTTAGGACATGCAGGTTGTGCACTCAGCATGACAACCTGCATAAAGCTCTCAGAGCTAATTCCCTTCCATCTACATAACTTTTGGCTTGATCAGAAATATTCATGCATGACTTCATCAAAGGCATAATAACCAGGTGAACCTAAGAAAACTGGCTAAAAAAAGAATGCACACCAAGAATACTTTAAGATTTGCTTATACAGTGCTGTGAAAAAGTATTTGCTCCCTTTCCAATTTCTTCTATTTTTGCATATTTGTCACACTTGAATGTTTCAGATCATCAGACTTTTTTAATATTAGACAGAGATAACCCAAGTAAACACAAAAGGCTGTTTCTAAATGATGATTTCATTTATTAAAGGAAAAATGCTCTTCAGCCCTACCTAGCACTTTGTGAAAAAAGTATTTGCCCCCTTAGCTACTAAATCAATCAGTTAATCAAACTCAGTTGACTATTGGGTTCATTTTCACTAATCACACCCAGGTATGATTGCTGATGATTGCTAGTGACCTGTTGAATCTAAAATCATCAGTTAAAAAGAACCTATCTGGCAATGTGAAGCAGACTAGAAGGTCTCAAAAAGCAGCACATGATGCCATGTTCTAAAGAGATTCAAATACAGATGTGAAACAAAGTCATTGAAATCTACCAGTCTGGAAAGGGTTACAAAGCCATTGCTAAGGCTCTGAGACTCCAGTAAACCACCTTGAGAGCCATTATACACAAATGGAGAAAACTTGGAACAGTGGTGAACCTTCCCAGGAGTGGCTGGGCTACCAAGATTTCACCAAGAGCGTATCGACGACTCATTTAGGAGGTCACAAAAGAACCCAGATGAACATCTAAAGAACTGCAGGCCTCACTTGCCTCAGTTTAGGTCAACGTACAGGATTCCATAATAAGAAACACACTGGGCAAAAATGGCATCCGTGGGAGAGTTGTAGGGCACAAACCACTGCTGACCAAAAAAAAAAACACAAAGGCTCATCTCACATTTAAAATAAATAAATAAATGTTCCCCAAGACTCATAGGATAATATTCTGTGGACTGATGAGTCGGTGGACCTTTCTGGAAAACATGGGCCCTGTTACATCTGGCATGAGGCTAAAAATGCATTGCACCATATGAATATCATACCAACAGTCATACGTGGTGGTAGTGTGATGGTTTGGGGCTGCTTTGCTTCTGCAGGATCTGGATGACTTGTCACAATTGATGGAACCATAAATTCTGCTCCCTACCAGAAAATCCCGAAGGAGAATGTCTGCCCGTCAGTTCGTGACCTACAACTCAAGAGCTGTTGGGTTATGCAACAGAACCGTGCCCCGGAATCCGAAGCACACAAGCAAGTCCACTCTGAATGGCTCGAAAGTCAAAATCATGCCTTGATTCCCATTGAGATGCTGTGGCAGGACCTTAAACAGGTAGTTTGTGCTCCAAAACCCTCCAATGTAGCCAAATAAAAAAAATCTGTAAAGAAAAATGTTCCAAAATTCCTCCAGTTTGATTGCAGTTGTTACTGCCAAGGGTAGCACAACCAGTTATTAGGTTTAGGGTGCAATTGCTTTTTCACATGGGTGATATACATTTTAAATAAATCTTTATCTTCAGTAAATAAAATTATCATTTAAAAGCTGCATTTTGTGTTTGTGTTGTCTTTATATTAAAATTAGTTGGATGATCTGAAACATTTATATGTGACAAATTAGCAAAAATAGGTGAAACTGGGTGGGGGCAAATACTTTTACACAGCATTGTAAATACCAAATCATTCCTTCTCACTGACATACTGACAAATGTGTTCAGAGGAAATTGTGAAAAAACAAGTCTGAGGGTGATTAAGATGCTTCGATATCAACCCTCAATCATATCATCTTATCATGACTACAAATATTCATGCATCATTTCAGAATCAGAATTAGAACTCCAGTGCTGAATTCACTCTTGCAGAATCATCTGTGCTCAGTTGAAGGTAAACAAAGATGGTCAGCACTAAGGGTCCTAAGTGAACGCTTTAAGGGTATTCATTTAACACTATGTTTTAACACTATGAATCTGTTCATTCAGTATTAATTATTTTAGGTTTTAAATTAATATTTATGTCATTTCCAGTCAAAATGACCATAATGTGTGAGTTATTCATTTTTCAGGACTGGGAAAAAATCTGAACAAAAATTACACAGAAACCTCAACAACTGATGTAATATACATTTTTCAGTATTTAATATATGAATATTTTGCCTTTATTGTAGTTTTCATTTCTTTTCAGGAGAAATTCTTTCAGTTTTTTTCCACACCTGTCACGCATTCTTCCGGTCCCGACTCACAAGGGGACTCCATCTCCCATAATCCCTTGGGAGATCACATGACTCCTCAACCTCAGCGCACAACCAGTCATCTTCTAACTCTCCTGAGTATTGATCTGATTCACCTGTGTGACTTGTCATATGACTTATTTAGTTTAGTATTTAAACCTGGGTTTGAGCATCTTTGCGAGGCATTGCTTCTCTTGTAGAGCTACTGAGGGTTTTTCCTGTGTGTATTTCACTTGCCTTTATTGTGTGCTGGACTGTTTTCTGGATTCCTTATTTTTGCCTTTTGTCTTTGCCCCTCTGGTTATGTTTGCCCCTGTTTTACCTTTTTGCTGTTTTGGATTTGACCCACGCATGTATTCTGAATACGATTTTGCCAACCCTTTTGTTACTAAAGCCTTTTGGAATCTTTTGGATTTTACTATGAGCGTCTGACCCTTTTTGTCACGCTACAACACCTCAAAGTTTCCAAAGTTCAGTTTTAGAAGTTGGTTGCATTTTCTGCGTCTCATAATCCAATTAATCCTAAACACATTGTGATATTGAGGGGATCTGAAGTCAGAGTGGAGCTTGATTTTCTCCTCTCTCTTAAAGATGAATGCTTTTAGTATTGTTTATCTGATGGTGACAGTTTTGGTGTCTACCAGCTCTTGCACGGTTGTTAGGAGTCCCATTTTCTCTGTAGCTTTTAAAGGGTCCACATCATGGAAAACTGAATTTTCCTCACCACTTGGAAATAAAACAATCTGAGTATGTAATTTGACTTTTGACTTTCCCCTTGTTTGTGCAACTAGATTATTTTATATCTCATCTCCTCAGAAATATCTCAGAAAATTAACAACTTACTTAATGGCTGTTTTCACAGACACATCACATTACCTATGCTGCTTATCCTCTTGGGTTGCAGGGTGTGCTGGAGCCTATCCCAGCACTCATTGGGCAAAAGCACCCTGGACAGGACACCAGTCCATTGCAGTGCAGACAGACACACAGACATATACATTCATGCACACATTCACACCTAGGGCCAATTTAGCATCTCCAATTTGTCTTTGGACTGTGGAAGGAAACCTACACAGACACAGAGAGAACTTACAAACTCCACACAGAAAGGACCCTGGTTGCCCGGCATGGGAATCAAACCCAGGCCCCTCTTGCTGTGAGGTGACAGTGCTATCTGTAGGATTGTATGTGATTGTATATTCATACAATAGTGCAAGTTTTAATATTATAAATGTGTTGATTAATCACTGTAGATGTTAATTCAACACTATAGGTTTCAATTTATCACTGTAAGTGCATTAATTCAACATTGGAGATGTCCATTCGTAAATTTAACACCATTAGGTCTGGTTGCTTAAATGTGGATTAAGCCTAGTCTTGGGCTAAATTGCCTCTGTCACTATTGAAAATTCTTTTTGGTCTAGCTTTAGACTTAATCTGAGTCTGGGAAACTGGCCCCAATGCAGTGATCATAGTATTAATTAATTCATCATTGTAGATGTTAAATCAACACTGAATTGAACACTGTGCCCTCTTAAAATAGATGGTTCTTCGAGAGTTATTTATCAAAGGGAATGGTTCTATTTAGAACCATGAGCTCTATATAGAATGATTTCATGCTATGTCTTTGCATTGTGAAATAGTTCTTCAGACTGATGGAGAATGTTTTGTATGTGGTTTTTAAAATGATTCTATATAGCACCAAAAAGAGTTCTGCTATTGTTACGATGTCAAGCTTGTAACAATACTCTGAAACAAGACCTTTGTTGGTGTGATATAGAACCTTTTTCAAGAAGGTTCTGTTTAGAACCACACACAGCACATTCTCCATCAATCTGAAGAACCATTTCACCATGCAAAGAATCGTTTTATCATGAAATGGTTCTATATAGAACTCATAATAGTTCCAAACAGAACAATCCCTATACTAAAGAACCAGAGGATAGAAGTAGATGTAAGCTCGACATTACAGGTCTTAATTTAACACTGTTGATGGGACATTTAGTGCGCAGTTGAGAAGCTTCACCAAGGTGCGCGGATGCAGAGCTGTTGAAAATGCTCAAATCCTCTCTCCTCCTCAGCGCGCTGACACACACGTCCTGAGAAAAGTGGGAAAAAAATGAAAAAAGGGGAAAAAAACAGTCTGAAGGTTGTGATTAACGCTGTTTGATGTCAACTCTCTGCGCATTTGCGCAACGAGGCTCCGCTTACGCAGCGCTCCGCGAGCAGAGGCGGGGCAGCGCGCGCGGCGGGGCACATAAAAGGGGGCACGGAGAGAAGAGGGGGCACACACAGCTGAGGAGTTTGAGTTTCTACAGCCCAAAGCTTGGACCAGTACAGGCAGAGCGGCGCGCGCTGCCCGGATCAGCACCATGGAGAGCTCGAGCGTGCGGGGCGCACTACTGCTGCTGCTGCTGCTCAGCGCGAGCGCACAGGACACGGACACCACGGACAACGAACTGGAGCTGGACACCAGAGCCATCCGAGACTTTTACCCTAAAGACCCCAACCTGACCAGCGAAAAACAACTGGTGAGTTCATGCGCTCTTAGCGCGCGACACTGTTTAAAGTGATTAAAACGTTTTACATTTCTTGTCACAGTAAGGTTCATACAGCTTTACGCACGTTAACATCTATGTATACTGTATTTATGATGTCTCTTGCACAGATGATGAAGAATACATACATATATATATATATATATATATATATATATATATATATATATATGTGTATAATATAATATAGTTATATACACACATATATAGCAAATAGTTGATGGTTAGTTGCATGTAGCAGTAGTTTTATTTCCTTTAACCACTAATGCAGTGCTATTGATGGTGTTTTTGTTTGTTTGTTTGTTTGTTTGTTTTTCCACTGATACTTTGAACCTTCATGTTTTAACAGCTTGGTGCTCTTCATGAAGTCCTTGAGAAGCTGCAGACCAAAAGAATTCCACCTTGGGAGAAGAAATTTGGACAGGTTCCCATGGTAAATAGACATGAATTGGACTTATGTAATTGGATATATTATGTAACGTTGAGTAATGTTAATATTATCATAATATTAAGTCATGTATCAAGTCACTAACAATAACACTGACTATACAAATTTGTATATTCTAAAAAACAACAGCATCAATAATTCAATAATTGCCAAAATAAAACAATACCTTATATCAAAAGGTATATAACAAAACCTTATATCTCCACTTTTTAATACAGAAAATAAAAATGTCAGCTACTATAGAATATGTTAAAATATTATGATGAATGGAGCAACAGAAATGCTCCAAAATTACTTTGGAAAAATTTTGATCCATTAACTTCCATTCAAAGTTCCATTCATTTTCTCTCTCCTGTAGACACTGTAGTTCAGTGCTCATTAATATGCATGTGAAGACTGTGGTTTCCTGTCATTTGATGTGAGAATGCTTCATCTGATGAATGTTAATCTGTAATAAATGCTGTCTGCTTCTCTGCAGTGTGATGTTGGAGAGCAGTGTGCGGTGAGGAAAGGCTCGCGCATTGGGAAGATGTGCGACTGTCCCCGGGGAGCCTTCTGCAACTTCTTCCTGCTCAAGTGCTTGTGAGGGGGCAAAGCATTTCCAGGGTCTTCGGGGGGGAGGGGGAGATCACACACACACCGTCCAAAAGTATCAAAGTCATTTGTATAGATATTTTTTTAAGTGCAAGAATTCACTAAAGAAACGTTTCTGTAAAGTTCTGTTCATGTGTTAAAGCGCTGCACGTCTGTAATAATGTCAGTAAAATGTAACATAAATGTTTGTGAATTAAAGTGACCCATTATGTCTTTTTGTAAACCAGTCTGTGTATAAGTTATTTCAAATGAGTGTGACGGTCGAACCAGAAGTGTTATGATTGATGCCCAGTTGTCTCTCAACAGCTTATATTTTGAGAAAATATTAAGATATAGCTAGAATTGAGTTCATGTGTCTCTAATTGAGTTCATAAAAAATGTGTGTGTGTATATATATATATATATATATATATATTACTTTGGGGCAATTAGAAGCAGATTTATTTTCACTATGAATGTAGTTTTTTCATATACATGCATACAGTTCAGTGTCATTCTACTGTACTCTACGCTCAGTACATTTGGAAAATGTACAGTTTTGAAGAATTCTTCCAGCAGCAGTCTCTCTAGATTTGCCCATTCCAGCTGGTGAAAATCACTTGTTTCCAGGGGATGCAGGCTGTGTGTTTGTGTATGCACAGTCATAAACCTATTGGTTGGCCAGCCCCATTCATCCTTACCAAATAGGTAGGCTGGATTTTTTTTTATATATAAAAACATGTGCTGGAACATATCGATTGCCCAGAGTTACAAAAAAAGAACTGCTCAATATCTTTTATCAAGGCTTATTCTCTTGATGGATTGTAGCTCTGTGAATAGCAGCAAACTTAACAGAGAAACTGTATCGTGCTGCAATGCTTGGGAAACTCTCAGTGTGTCGTTTGTTGCCATGCTGGATCCAGTCTGCCTGCTGAATTTCATTTGGAAGGTCACTCTGGTACATGTATCATGTTTTTAGTTCATACAAGAGTGAGAGCTGGTCATGTTGGAGTTCACTGCAATTGGTTTTTGCGCTGTAGAGATTCTGTTGCTTTCATTTGTCCAATTAGAATAAAATCAAAACATACAAACTGACTGCATTTACTGCATAGAATGACGTCTTCAGTTCATTGCCGTCACTGTGTAGTTTTTGTAGTTGAATGCAGTTGAATGACGTCTGTTTGGTCAGAAGAAACGGAGCCAGGCTGCTGCAATGAGAGCTATGAAAGGGAATCTATAAAGTAGGCCAAGACAAAAGATGTCCTGCGGCTATAAGCTAAAGCTTTGTGTTCTGAAAGCCTTTGTTTTAATCGTCTCAACAAACGAATATTTAGAATAAAATGGCTTCAAACTCAAACACCATAGAACAGCTTCTGTCCTATTAGGTTTCAGTACCCAATTCTCACCAGCTTTGTTCAATTTAATGTTCTTCACTAACGTTCAAGCAGTAAAAAAACGACCAGTAAAAAGTTTCAACACCAATAAATCCAGATTTAGGGTTGATGAGCTTTTAAGTCTGTTCTTTTAGCCTTGCTGTGTCATGGTCTTTCTCCCCCAGTGACTTGATGATTTCTCAGTGTTGTTGGCCTTCAGCCTCTCACATAATGATGGCTGAGCTTTTTCCAAAAGCGTTGCTGTGCAAAGAACATTGTCAAATCACTCGTGAGAGTCATCGGGATGTTTCTCAAATGCTTCTTGGTCAACATCTCCGTGCCTACGGTGGTGGTAAGCAAAGATCATCAATGTGTGAGATAAATTGGTTCGGAAACTGACCCTTGGCCTGATTTGACATGAGGGTTGTTTATTCTGATGCTACATGAGTGTTGCTCAAAAAAAAACTTTGCAAAGTTATTTTTCAGAAATGCATAATACTGGAATGTTCATGGTCTGACATAAAGTGAAAAGGGAGATGTGCTGTTGCCCCCTAGAGATGCCATGCGGAAGCGAGGAAAAGCTGTGAGACATCCAAAGGCCGAAGTTCTTACTTTGAAAATGTACTGATGTCAAAGTTGCTTCCAAAGCGCTTTTGATTGAGTTTGGCCTATTGAGTCATAGGAAGCTTCAGGTCCAGCTAGTGTTCACTTACACAGTTAACTGCACTGTGATCCCAGTGAGTGAGTAAATGTTCATGAAGTGAAAGAAACTAGTCGTATCTGCATTCACTGGTTGACTATATTTGATTATGTAATCAGTTTACATAAGATGAGAGTTTATATTAAGATAAGTCACTTACACTCTGTGGTATCGGGGTCATACAGAGCTAAAGAAGATGCTAGACAATAACATTGCTCACCACAAATTCATTAACCCCTTACAATCCCAGGTTCATGATATACTAAAGCTTATTTTTCAGTAACTACACGGACTACAATGCAAACTAGCCGAGTTATTTTTGGGTTATAGAAGCGTGTAGTAAAACTTTGGGCCCGCTGCAATGCAAACTAGCCGAGTTATTTTTGGGTTATAGAAGTGTGTAGTAAAACTTTGGGCCCGCTGGTGGGCCCTGTCCATTAAGGGGTTAACAATTAGAAGAAGAAACCTACAAAACCCATTACATATAGATGTAGATGAAACATTTTGGAGCACTATTTTCCTCATTTATGTTATCATCTGTATATAATGCAATCACAGCCCCTTGTCTGTTGACTCACAATAATGAATGTGCATTTCTTGTAGGCCTCCAGGAATCTTTATATAGAGTAAGCCTGGTGTGCACAAAAGAACTTTACAGGGCCCAAATCAATGAGTTTTCCTTGCTTTTTAGTAAATAAAAAAAATAACCAAATGTTTGATATGGTATGCAAACACTTAAGTTTAAAAATGTACCATTCATCCCAGTCCTTATTGTCCATACATGGAAACTAAGCTGTAAAAACCATTGAAATTTTTTTTTGTGGTGTCACAAATCCAATACCATTACATATATCTGCCTAGTTAGCCTTCAGCGGTTTAGGCTTGTCAGTTTATGCTGAAATTAAAAGGCCTGTTTTAACCTGCTTTTTGACTGAGACGTGATACAGGACAACCATCAGAATGGAGTTCATTCGCATAAATCAGTCAACCCCTTACATGGCCAGGGCACACTGGTGGGCACAAAGCTTTATTACCCACTTCTGTAACCTAAAAATAGCCCAGCCAGTTTGCACTAAAGTCCCTGTAGTTACTTAATAATAAGTCTTAGTATGGAATAAGCCTGGGATTTTAAGAAGTTAAAGGTACAGTAACAAAAACAGTGTGTTTAATTCAAGAAATAAACAGATGTTGAAAAATGGTCACAGTTGGAGGGATGAAAATGAATTATGTCTGTGACTTCTGGAGAAAAAATAAGTGAAATTCAAGAAAACTGTATGATACAGACCCTTTAAAAATCACTGCGTAACTTTACTAATATTATGTTAAGCAAAATAATCAGGCTGAAGCGCAGTTATGTGGTCTATTTACAAATCAGCTCTTTAAACATGTGCCAACTTTCTATCATTAACATCTACTGGAAGCTTGGAAGATGCTTAGTAAGACATAATACATACTGAGGAGATGGAAACAGGCTGCACAGGCTGTGGTAATGACTATGTCATTCCACCTTGCTCTAACTCTAGAATATTCCAGACACTACTTCCAGAAAGGCTCTCGTCACCCTTGACTACAACCTTTGGATGACTTCACAATGGAGTGGACAGATGCTGCTCTCTGTGGCTGGTGGTCAATAAAGTGTAGCACACTGCACCTAAAAATACCAGCATCGATAATGAGCTAGACAGAAATGCTGTAACATCTGCCCACCTGGACCACCTGAGGCTCCATATCTCTACCATACTGCCAGTTTCAGCACCTGCATAGAGTCTGCAGCAACACTATGAATCAAATTTAACATTAAGTGAATTGGAATATGAAGAGATAGTGTCGTCTTGGGCAAATAAGCAAAAGTATTTCCTACTTGTAGCCAGCAGGTGGCAGTAGGAGCCCAGGCCTTTTCTAGGCGATTGGATTGCTGACTCACTCCATGTCTGACTGTAGTGAAGCAAGGTTACTGCAGCATTCAGCACCCACAGCTGGAGGGATACATTCCCCTCTAATTTCCATTCAGCTTCAAAATAGCTCTGTTTCCTGTAACTTTGTTTATCCTTTTTCCATTAAAAGCATTATGGTACTGGTAGAGGGCCTTTATTCAAATCTGTAACTACAGCACTCAAAATATTAGTGTCTAAATGAAATGTAGCTGAGAAGTCTGAGACTTCTGATCCTTCATGTGTTTAATTTCCACTGAAAATGGTCATTATTACATGGTCTTTATTACATCTTTCTTTTTGGACATTTTATTTTGTTTTTCAAAGAAATCTGCAGGGATATTTTTCCACATCTCCAAAGTTCAGGCTAAGAAGTTGGTTTGCATATTTTCTTCTTTTTGTCTATTTTCTTTCCTCAGTAAGGGCTTCTTTGCAGCTACACATCCTTTCAGACTCATAGTGTTGAGTTGTCTTCTCACAGTGGAAGGATGGACAGAAACACCTGTGAATTTTTCTGATCTGAAGCAAGAGTGGATCATAATTTTTTTCCTCTCTCTCTCAAAGATGAAAGCTTTAGGTGCTGTTTATCTGATGGGGGCTTGATGGTGGTCTACCAGGTCTTGGGTTTAGTGTTAGGGATAGATTCAATAAACTCTTTCACATACATCCATCATCTAAACCGCTTATCCTTCTGGGTCATGGTGGGGTGCTGGAGCCTATCCCAGCTGTCATTGGGCAGAAGGCAGGATACACCCTGGACAGGTCGCCAGTCCATCGCAGGGCAGACAGACATATACATTCACACATGCATGTCTTTGGACTGTGGGAGGAAACCAGAGTACCCAGAGGAAACCCACGCAGACATGGGGAGAACATGCAAAGTCCACACAGAAATGACCCTGGTCACCCGGCAGGGAATCGAACCCAGGCCATTCTCGCTGTGAGGCAACAGCGCTACCCACTGTGCCACTGTGCCGCCCTATAAACTCTTTCACACTAATCTTAAAATTTAGTTGCATATGATGGATGTTTAGTTGAATGTTACTTAAAGATATATTGAGCATTTGCTTATTTCTGATCTCCTCAGAAACATCTCCTGAATATGAATAACTTGTACTTAATGGCCATTTTGACTGGAAATTAAATAAATGCAGGGTGGTCTCTGACTTTTGCACAGTACTGTATATGTGAATAATCAGGGACAAAATGTGAATGATGTAGATCACAGTGAGAATAGAGG